GTAAATCCAGTATAGATCTATACGCAAACTCAACACTCTCCCTCCAAGAGAATTCTGGCTACAACTCGGGCCATGACATTTAAGGCATACTCCGATACAATGGATCACAATTGTTATCGTATTCTTGTATATGTAATGAAATGTTTCTCGCTCTAGTATAGTTGTATATGTTATGAAATGTTTCTCGTTCTAGTATAGTTGTATATGTATTGTTTCTAGTATAGTCGTGTATGTTCTGTGTTACCCCGATGGTAACGAGCTATTGATGTATTGATAAGCATGAATATGGAAGTACTTTTATGTCTATACATGTATATATGATATATAACTAATATTGAAACGACCCTCGGATGGTCACCCAAAATCCCACCAGACCACATCTCAGTGCGCGAAAAGGAAATAGGGTGGATGGCCTTCCTAAGCCCTTTAAACATTACTTATATATCTATACATATATGGGCATGCAATTTATAAGTAGTAAAACAAAGTTTAAATAAAAGCATTTGATAAGTAAAAGAGTTTGTAAAACATTTTGAAGTAAAACAGTTTGAACAGTGATAAAATCATTGGTTTCCTAGTTATTAATCACATGTGATTAATGCAATCACATGTGATCGAAGCAATAACTATAAGCATTTACTTGTATTCCCCCCCCCCCCATAAAGTATTTAAACATTTAAAATCATTTCAAAGGTTGATTTAAGGGGGTATGAACTCACTTGATTGAAGTGGTAGATTTGAAGTAGTCGAGAGAAGAATCGAGCAAAACTTCGACAGGAAGAGTTGAAAACACGGAAAAATCTAGGGATTCTCGGGAATCTCAGGAACACAAAAATTTCCTTCGGGACTTGAATGTGAAAAACCGGCGCTTTGGGAGGGTCTCGGGGGCTTAAACGCAGAGTTTCGGCGCGAGAAAGAGAAGAATGGAGCACCTAAACCCGGCACCCCAAGAGTTCTATTTATAGGGGGTATTTTTGAGTGCCACGTCGTGGCTAGGGTTGGCCACGTCGTGGGGAGAAAGTCTATCCTCTTCCATTGATGGGACACCCTCAGTCACTTGACGGGTCGCGGCAAAACAATGCCACGTCGTGGAGAGGCCTGACAGCCTCGGATTTCGGACCCCGAACTTGTAAAATCCATAACTTTCGCGTACGAGCTCCGTTTTCGACGTTCTTTATATGCACGCGTAGCTGAAAATATGATCTACAACTTTCGTTTAGACTTCATTGGCAAATTTTGACTTTATTTTTAATTATTTATTTTTAACGGGCCGGGACACGAAAAATCTATATAAAATCCATAACTTCTTCATCCGATGTCCGTTTTCGTCAGACTTTTCGCTGTTGCGCTACTAATGTTGAGACCTTTGATTCTCATTTAGGTTGTTTTGGTCAAAAGTCTCTCGAGCTCTATTTCGAGTTTTTAGTTGTCTACTGCTATATTCGGATATTGGAAAAATCATAACTTCCCCATACGAAGTCAGATTTGGACGTTCTTTTCATGTACGCTCACGGTTTAATGTTATCTATAACTTTCATTTAGATACCTAAGGCTAAATGCTATTGCATTGAAACTTCGCATTTTTCGTTTAATCGGTGTTGTCGGTTTTGTCGGAAATCTTAGAATGGTCATAATTTCTTCGTTGTAACTCGGATTTTAGTGTTCTTAGTATTTATGTAAACCTTGACACAATGTCTAACATAATAGATATTCTTATAAAGATTCTTACATATTTCATTTTCGAAGTTAATTTCATTATTTCAAAAGTAGCTACAATACTTGACTTTTTAGGTCATTACAAAGAGTTGAAATATCGGGTTGTCACACTCATCATGCAGGATCTCACGAATCCTGGCATCCAACTCGCCTGTGCTCATCTGACCAATAACCGCCGGCGGTACTGACCCGCCCTGACCTCCCTCTCCTGCTCCCAGTCCTGAACCGGATCCGCTCCCAGCATGCCTCGTGACCACCATACTGAAAAACACCACAAAATCTCAGACACTTCCCACAACCCGGGAACCAACTCCCAACTCAACCCTAGAGGTCATGGTTTCCTGATACGCGTATGGGTCCTGTGCTTTCAGTTGTACGGGCTCATACTACCTTCCACACCTTCCCATATGTGTATGAAGTACTACCACAACACCCTAGTGACAAATATACATAACAAGCGCTCAATCCTCACTCCTAGAGGAACACTGGAAATCTCATACAGAAGGAAACCCTAGGGTAGCAGGCATCATAAAACAGGCAACATTATCATGAAATCTTGAAGATCCCTAGCCTAGTACTAGCATGATGTTCTATCAAAGCTCGAAAACAAATATCATGTATGGTATTTGGGGTTACTTATTGGCTCCGGCTGATCATACCTCCGCGTCCTCCTTTTATTTATTATGAAAACCATTTTAAATTCTCTTTTAAAAACTCTCCCTGATTTGAGACTGGATTCACACGAATGTTCCTCCAGTTCACTCAAACCAAGGCTCTGATACCAACTTGTAACGACCAAAAATTTCAACAAATTTTAAACTTTTCAAAACATCCCAATTTCTTTAAGTTTTTACAAAAAGGTTTTAAATACATTTATTATCAGAGTATTCCCAGAACCATGACATAAAACATAAACACGAGGAGTGGTACGGTCACGCCTTTGCCTTGCCATGGTCTCCTAAAGAACCTGAAAAACATTAAACCACAACTGTAAGCCCGAAAGCTTAGTGAGATACCCCCAAAATACCAACCACATATACTATACACACATAACATGCTATATCATAACAAATCAGAACAGCCATGCATATCGGGCCTACTGTGTGACTGGTCCGCCGTATCGGGCCTTCAGTCCACTTGGTCCACCCTCCGAGTCTAGTCATGTCCTTTGAGTCTGCAGTATGGGTGGTCCACCCACACCGGGCCTTCAACACACCTGGTCCACTCTTTGAGTCTACAGTATGACTGGTCCGCCCGCATTTGGCCTTCAGTCGGCCTGGTCCACTCTCCAAGCCTTGACATATCTGGTCCGCCCTTGTGGGGCCTACAGCCTATCCGGACCGCTCGTTGGGCCTTTAGAATAACCGGTCTTCCCTGGGTATGTTCGCCTACAGCACAAAGCAGGTCCCGCCTCAATCCAACCCCAATCAAACAACCATGTGCACACAAACATACAATCATATAACAATTCACATTCAATCAAACCGATCTAGCAGATCACATATCATAACATACTCTAAACAGGATACTGACCTAACAGGTCACTAGCATAAACCATCCTAATACCTGGATGCAAACATAACAAGGCAACAACATAACAACGATACCCGGATTACAATCCGATAAAGGGCCGACCTTGGTGCCTTAGACCCTGTTGATATAGTGAAGCTAACTCACCTCGCGATTGCCGAAACTCTGAACTGAAGAAGCAGACTCCTGAATCACCGACTCACCAAAAATCCCGAACTAGCCATCATAACAAAATAATCATTAGGCCAAACATACCTCCACTTATTGGGCCAAGGCCAAAGTCCAAATCTCCTACAAAACCCAATATTGGCCCAATTTACTAAATTGGGACCTCCTCACCGAATGGGCCTAGATCCAAGGTCCATAATAATAATTGGGCCCAAAATACTCTATCAATACTATTCAATCAAGGTCCAATCTTATTATCCCAATGACAGCCCAAACAATCGAAGCCAAAATTAAAATGCCACAGAGGGGGGTACGTTGGGCATACCCTTCTTGGTACGTTGGGCGTACAACAATTCTCGCAAAATGGGATCGGGGCACTGGCCCGCTATGCTAGGCGTACTCCCATGTTATGCGGGGAGTAACCTCATGGTTCAACAAATCCATGCAACTGCTTAATGGCTTAAGCTATTAAGCCCAAACTTTAGATCCTTAGGCCAAATATGATTAGGATTCATAAAGTCTCAAACTTTATCACCTGGGACGTCCATAAAGCTCTTAATCCAAGGTCTTAATCCATTAAGACCTACTTATCTCACACATAGAACAACCTCAGCCCTTGGGACCTCATTTTTCTCACTCAAGACCTCTCCTAAGGTCTGAAAGGACAGATAATCTCGACCAACTTGAAACATACAACAAGATGAGTAATTTTGGGATAATCACTACTAGAAAAACAGCCTTTAACGACGCTCATTGCGCGTCATAAAAGGCTTAGACGACGCGCAAATGCGCGTCAAGGAAGGCCCTGTCATAAAGAGAGACGACGCGTTTTTGCGCGTCGTCTATAGACGACACGCATTTACGACGCTCGTTTACGACGCACAATTACGACGCACATTTACGACACGCAATGTGTATCAAGGAAGGCCCTGTCATAAAGAAAGACGACACGCATTCGCGTGTCGTAACCTTACGACGCGTGTGTTAATGACACACAATGCGTATCAAGAAATCCCCTGTCAAGAAAGGCCATGTCATAAATGAAGATGACACACATTTTTGCGTATCGTAAATTTAAATGTTTAAAAAAATATATTTATATATTTATTAATTTTTAAATTAAATTTTCATTTAATGTCTCATAATAGAAATAAAATACCATATACAAAAAATACAATTCATTGCATATAATTTAATGTCATACAATTCTATTTCTTACATTATATAAATTTACATTCATCTAATCTACTATGTCTTTCATACTAACAATTGAAATGAAGAATGAAATACTTGTATTTGTAGCATCTTATCTCTTTTAGCTTGAGCTTTCTTTTCCTCTTCTAACTCCAGAGCTATTCGCTGTCATCAACCCTGTAAGCACAACTTTGACATTTCCATTGGCATGATCCGCATATAGAGTAGATGTGATCCCCATAGCATTAAGCCCAACATTCTCAGTTAATGTTTTTAGTATTATTTCAAACCTCTATGCAAATTTTCCAATTGCATACTAAACTAATCTGCATCATATCAATTATCAACCAAAAAACAAATTTAGTCAAACAAAAACTAATCATTCAGATTACCTACCATGTCTCCGAGAAAGAAAACTCCTTCAGTTTTGTTGCTAATTCAATTTCAGTGGCTGCAGCTCCAAGCACAATTCTACTGTCCTTGCATAAGGCCTAAAAAAATACAAGGAATAAAAATATAATTTATCCAAACAGTAATGCAGTTTATCTTGTTACTAAATGCAAAAACAAGAAGCAACAAAATTATGAACTCTGACTTTAGGTTTTTCCTAAAAAAATTTCCTTTCATTTCCCAAACTGCCCTCTCATTGTTTTTGGTGAAAGAAAAAAGAAGGTCCAGATTACCTTGTAAGTATTTACACCATCATCAACAGGCCTTTCCAGATCATCAAGTATGCTATCTGCACTTCCACGCAGCAAAACAGTTGTCACAGAGTTCCCACCTTGTTCGTTTCTTACAACACTCACCTAAAAAAAAAAAAAAAAAGCAGGGACATTTTTGTCTTTATAAAAAACTATAATTTTTGTCCTCTTGACACCAGTCTCAGTCACCAGTTCATCATTTGAATTGATGATCTAAACAATATAGAGAAATTCTATGAGAATCTTATTAGTGCAGAGGAGTTAGGGGCATTTTAGGCATTTAATATTACTAGTTTGTGATGTTAGATAGTTAGGAGCATTTTGGGCATTTCATAATAAATTGCTTATTGAAGAAGCAGGAGAAAAATACGTTGTACTTGGTACCAAAGAACATAATGTAAGTAGTATATAACACTCAAATACAAACTGGGCTGCTGTTCAGGAAACAGGAGCGCAAGCTCAAAACTAAAATCATTTGACTCCCTGAGCAACAGAATCAGGAAGAGAAGATGCGTATAAGTAGAAGATAAGAACCTTGGACTTTGGAGAATTGGAGAGCTGTAAAATCACATGGGTTCCCTCCTCTTCACCAGCATGGGACCCACTAGCGATTAGCTTCCCTACTAGTAAAATCAGTGGGAACATCTTCCCGTCCAATGAAGGTAGTCAATCTAAAAAAAATGAGATTATTACCCACGAAAATTGAGAAAAGATTATGATGTGAATATGACAAATTTACCCCAACAACCAATACTTTGAGAATAAACAATATTGAAGGCATATATTCTAGTAAGAGCACCTTGATATTCTTAAAAGTTCTATAAGTTATGAAAAAAATTGTGATAATGGGGAAAGAACTAAGAAGATAAGCATACCATGTCACCTGGTAGGTTACCATAGCCTGCCACACATATAACTAGAGAAGAAATGATTAAGGGCAAAACAGTCTTTTAGTATGAAAAGAGTGTAGGAAAAAAAATTCAAAAATTAACTTAAAAGTCTTAAAATGCTAGAGTAAATTAGTGTTTTAAAACTAACTATATACATGCATACGCTGGCTACTTTCACCTTTTCCTGTAAAACTCAGGCCAACATTTTCAAGCTGTAATACCATATCGGGGTTCACCTGATTCAAATTTAAATTTCAAATCATTAACATTAAGCTAAAAAAGACAACATGGTGCAACTTCCAAATTTTTTCTTATGAAACATTTAATACCCAATAACTTTATGTTGACATTGCTATAAATATAATTGGGCAGATAATCCAAAGTAAAATGTTATAAACTTATAACGAAACAGATTTACTAATTTTTTTTGTAGTGGGGACCTACACTTAAAAGTTTAAAAAAAAAAAAAAAAACTTTGCAAAGTCTATTTTACAAAATGGGTGGTCGTTTTGAGAAAAATGTTACAACACCACATTTTTTGACAATTTGGTGATTATGCCATAAAGCAACGCTTTCAAATTGTATATGTGTACCCAAGTTGTATACTTAATATTATCAGTTTAATAATAACAGATATCCATAAAACAACATTACTATCTTTCAGATACAAAAATGGTTAATATAGGATTAATAATTAGAAATTTAATGATAAACTAAGTTTTCTTAATTAAACATTGAAAACTTTTCTTAATAAATCATTAAAATATTATATTACCTTCAACTCTTCAAGAGAAAATCCACGGTCCTCCCTAAGTTTCATGTTGTACTTTGAGGTTTCACAATGAACCTGAGGACAAAGTGATACAGCTGGCCTTGGAAATACTTTAACAACCTTTTGTTGCCTGGCTGTAGTAATCAATAAAATTAACTTAGGTTATGGTAAAATTAAGATGCAAAATCATTTGAAATATAAAGTAACATTAGCTAATATATGTTTATGATTTGAAGAAAAGTTACCATTGCATCTCCTTGTTTGGGAAAACATTGTTCTGCTTAACCATCACTTCTACTACTACTCTGCAAATACACCATTATACTATCTATTTAAAATCACAAATCATCTTCACATTGAGCACTGTCAAAGCAAATTTAATGTTTTCATAAGGCCTTGGACCAAAGTTGGAGAAAAATCTTTGTATCTTTGATGAAGCAATGAGCATACTTGATTTACAGGAAAATAAATAAATAACACTCAAATTGAAATGTGTGATGAAGCATCTGAAAAGGGTAGTTACCTGACATGGCTGTGAGGAAAGGAAGCTCACATGGCTGTATGTCTGAAAAGGGTAGTTACCTGACATGGCTGTGAGGAAAATAAATAAATAAAACTACAGCCTGTATGTCTGAACTTTTTAACTTGGCATCACAAATTGCAGCCACTTCTTCACTCACATGGCTGTGAGGAAAGGAAGCTCCTATGCTATCATCTGAGGCAAGAATAGAACTTAAGCTACTGTGTATATCATCTTCAAAAGCTCTCCGTTGATTCAAATCAGAAGATATAATTTCATTCATTCTAACATGAAACTCAGCAACTTGTTTTGTTTGCTCGGCACGACTATTTCTTAAATATTTAACCTCATCTGAAACCTGAAAATCACATAACCATAGGATTTAATAAGATTCCAATGGTATTCAAACTAAGGGGTTGTTTCATTCTGTTCATTAAGTGCTCAACCCATCAAGCTCATTAAGTAAAAAACAAACAGCCTCTAAGACAGAATGGAAAGTAATTGATGTGAATCAAAAATGGAAGTAGCAATAAGACACACCGCAATACGCACACAATCCTTTTGTATCAAGTTATGGATTGTTCCGAATTCCTTTGAGACACTGCTTGTATCTAATGATTCATCTCTTCCAACAATACTGGTTTCCAGCATCAACTTACCACAGTCAACTGCTTCACGGAACAAATGAGGAATAACATGAATCCGAGCACCATCATCCAACATCCCAAACTGGGATCTAACAGCAAGCAATGCCCTATGTTAAAGAAAAGCTTATAATCTCACATTCACCAACACTTAGGAAAGAAACTTCAAAAGAAAAAGAAAAGCAATACCAGAGAAAAACTTGTAGTCGACTTTTGCTTTGTTCATCATCAGCAGAGAGGATACAGGGCAGCATGGGAATGAATTGTTGGTACCAATATGATTTGTCACCCTGTATAAATTTAGAAATATAAATCCAAAATGAAACTAGAAAGAATGTGTGAACCAGTCAAAATCCCGGAAAGAAAGAATCAGCTTAGCTCTATATCTTCAATGTGGCATTTTGTCGAACACATTCTGTGCAGTAACAAAATGAAAATCTTGCCATCAAAATTTCAATGTATGGTTGTAAATGAACTGAAGCTAACACGATCGAGCCAGAAATGCAGAAACCTTAACAGAAAAGAAGATAGAAAGAGACCTGTAGAGCTTTACAGATGTTTTCGAGTTCATCCCGGAGGTTGACTTTCTGGGAAGTCGTCACCACCTCAACAACACCCAAGCATGTTTCACCATCTATTTCAAACACAGGGAGGTTGAGACACCTACAAAAGTTGAGTTTTTTTAGCGTAAATCACACGTACGTCATCCCCTTCTGCAACAATTCGAAGATCTGGTGTGCATGTGGGAAATTTCTTCATGAAAACGCGACTAGGGAAACCGATAATCTCATTAGAATCATACTTAACTTCAATATTAATCTAACCTAGGGCTTGTAAACTTGAGCAATCGTTGTAGTCTCTGGTGAGGTGAGGTGAGCCCGAGGTCGTCGGCGGAAAGAGATGAGCCGAGGCCAGAGGTGAGTTGAGGTAGATTCGGTAGTAGTGGAGGCAGATTAGGGTTTACAGAGGAAAGGGGAAGGAGAGAGTGAAGGTTGTCGGCTGGTGGCGTGCTTGTGTTGATCGACGATGACGACCGGGAATGGCAAGTAATGTTGGTCGAAGTGCGAAGGAAGAAGTAGGAGGCTATGTCGGAAGGGGAAGGAAGGGGCGTCGATAATTAGGGCAAGAGGGAAAGGAAGAAAAAGGAAGGCGGGGGATTTAACTTTTTTAGGATTTCATTCCGGCTAAAAGAGATGAGTCGAGATCATTGGTAGATGAGGTGAGCCAAGGTAGCGAGCGTTGTAGAGAGCCTTCCCATCTTGAAAAGAACCCTAGAATGATCCCTTCGATTTCAGGGGCAATCTTGTGAGGATTTCAAGAAGGAGAGACTCAGTGAGGTTTTGAATATCGTATGAGAACGTATGAGCAAGGAGAAGATGAAGGCCCTAGGGATTTTTCTTGAGGCGGGGGGATTAATTTTTGGAATCCAATAGGCGGGAGTAATTTTAGTCGATTTCATTTCCCGCCTAAAACGCGTGTTTCACTTAAAAATTATAAAGCGACACATTTACACGACGCCCATTTTATGAAAGGCGCCCTCCGCATTTCTTTTTTTTTCTTTTCTGACACTAATTTTAGGGCGCGCACAAATGCGTGTCCTTTATCCTTCAAATTTTGCAAAACTGACATTATCTTTTAGGGCACGTACAAATGCGCATCCTCTATCAGCGAGTGTCATTGTTTGCGCGACATTAAAGGTTGTTTTTCTAGTAGTGAATAATGGTGTCAAAGCTTCACAACACATAGGTCTACACAATATAAATGTCAAGCAAGAAGCTTTATACCTTAAATAGGCTCCAAAGGATGATGTCTTTCCAGATCTATAAGCTCCAGCCGTTCTACTCCTTCTTTGCCAACTTCTCCTTTCTTCCTTTATGCTTTCCTTTGCTAATCCAAGCTTTCCAAGACCAACCACACCCAACAATGGAGGTAATTCGGATATCTAGGGTTTTTGGGGGTAAGAGAGTGCTTATGGAGGCTAAGGAGGAAGCCTTTATGTTCTTTATATAGCGGTTGTCTTAAAATTAGGATTTTGGGGATTCTGAGAGTATGTTGGGCGTACTCGACCATCACTCGCGTTTCTTTCCCTCACTACGTTGGGCGTACATCCACCTTATGTTGGGCGTACCCATCAAAACTCAAGCACGCATGCTTGGCATGCATGGGGCCCTTTTTTCTAATTTCCCCTTAGGAGCTATAATCAATATTATCTTCGAAACGCCATAACTCCACTACTCTAAACCCGCTCCCGATAAACTTTACATTCACACAAGGGTGGCGAGAAGCCCTATGCTTCTATCAACATACACCAGTCCAAAACCTTCTCGGATAAAACCCATTTCCCATAAAAGGACCAAAATTACCCTTCCTCTTAAATCTCAGGGACTCATAATTAAATACTTTAAGAATGGGGTGTTACATATTGACTGTATACTTGTTATATATGTTAGACGAACACTATTATACATGTTTTAAATGATTTAAATTGTATATGTATTTTATATCTACAAATATGTTGGGGGTAAAACATGGGTAGATGAAATAGTTGGTGTGTGATGAAATAAAATGATGAGAGGCCTCGATGTTGTTGTTTATCCAGTCATCTAGCAGAGTATAGATGACAACCACAGACTATTCTAGACAGTCAAGTGGAACGCTAGCAGGCCCGCAACCTGTAGGTGTTTGTGAACGGTGTGTTCACTGGTGTACTCTATCCTCCTCATGGTTTCCTTACGGACATTTATTGTTGAGGAAACCCCTTAGCAATAGTGTCCATCCCGATGATAATCCTTAGGCTAGATCCCTTACAATAGGTGTTTTAGGGACGTAAAGTGAGGATAACGGGAATGGGTAATCGGTTTATTGTTGGTTGATGAAATTAATAAACTTATTTATTGCGGGTTGAAAACCCTATGTGCTCACCAGGCTCCCAAGCCTAACCCACTCAGTTTTCTCATATACAGGTAGTGGAAAGAGAGCACAGAGTGATGATCTTATGAGAGATCAATGGATTATAGTCTACTAGAATAAATAGATATTATAATGCCTATGTTGTTTATGTTTATGCTTTTGATATGTATTAACAATGATATCCCAAAGTTTTTAATATAATACATTTCTACGGAAATGCTTTGATGAATTATTTTTCATATTATTTTTGGGAACAAATTCCGCATTATATTTCTTTAAAAATAATATACTCTGATTTTCAAATAAAGCATTAACAAATTGGTCTTTTCTGTCCGTGAATTCAGGGATGTCACAACTAAGCACTAAATACTAAACTCCAATCTTGGTGACAGGCGACGATCTTTTGTTTCCCATGCTCCACGTCCCTATTTCTTCTTAGTCCCTGCAAATCAGAACAAATGTGAAAACCACACACTGTATCAAGAATCCAAGAAAAAGCATGCGATGAATCATTAGATTTAATAGTGTAAATACCTCCGAAGGACATTTTGATCTTTCCATGCTTGATATCTTGCAGATACTTCGGGCAACTTTGTTTCCAATGCCTTATTTCATGGCAGTAGTGGTACTTTGCCTCCTTAGGGTTGGAGTTGGGTTTAGCAGAACCAACCTTGGTTCTACTAGAAGAGGTACCTTCTTAGGACTTTCCCTTACGGTTGCTCTTTTAGGGAGCCTTCCTCTTCTTACCCTTTCCTTGCCCAATTTCCAAGACTAGGACAGTAGCAGGAGTATGATTTGATGCAACAGATTTATCTTTGAGATTTCTCTCAACAATCCTTAGCAAGCCTTGAAGCTTGCTCAAAGTGACCACTTCCTTATTCATGTGGTAGGTCAAGTGGAACTGGTTGTAGTAGGGAGGCAAGGAGTGATGATCATCGAAGTGATGATCTCGTACCTTTCTTGGCTAGCGCTTTGGTGGTACCGGTACAACAGATCTTGATGCATCTCATAGGGATACATGTCCTCATAGGAGTTATGGAGTTCTGCAGTCATAGTCACCAACAGGATGCAATTGACTTTCGTAGCATCACGCTCATGGGCCTTAAAGGCACCGATCTCATCAACAGTGGCAGTGTTAAGGTTGATTTCCTTCAGCTTTTCATCGAGGACATACTCTTTGTCTTCATAACGAGTAACCAGTCGGATGTTGCGGATCCAATCATTGAAATTAGACCCGTCAAAGATCACTCTCCCACACAAATTCATGAGTGAGAACGAGCTGGAGGAATTTGAGTCGGAAGCATTGTTGTCCACATTCGACATCTGAAACAGAAAAGAGACAAGTTTGATTAGAAATGAATCCCCAATTAAACACCCAAATGATAAATTAGGGCTAGAACCAAAACATCATTATTTACAAATTAGAATAGGGATGCCGTAATCTAACATGCAAATAATTTGAAGGTAAGTGAATAACAATTCACTAATTTTCCACCATGAAAAACGAAAAAGAGTTTAAGTTTTAAATGTATTGAAAACTCCTAGATCTTTTTAGATTCATTGAATTTTTCAATGGCATGTTTAAATCTCGAAAACCCCCTCAAATTTGTGACTAGGATGCCGATGATCACAAAGCGGGTGTGAATAACCATGCAAATTTACATGGTGCCCTCAATGTTACAGTCACCCAATCGACGTGCCGGTTAGCTACACACGCTCCATCAATCTATGACAAACATCGAGTCATCCTTTGCCACCTTTGCTTAGAGCCCAATTAGTGATGCGGTTAACCACACGCGCTCCACTAACATCTTAGCAAGGGTACAAAGTGTAATTTCATGGAATTGCATCAAATTCGCTTTTTCCTAAAGTAACTATGATTGGGAATTTTGTAAAAACATTTAGTTACTTTATAATTCATTATACTTTTAATGAGGAAATGGTTTGCCCTATCCTACCCGTTCGGCTAACGACCCTCCACCAATCAAGGAAGCGGTGGGTAAGAGTGGACACCCATTAAAGGGTCATTTTATAGGCCATAATCTTATACCCCCTTATAGATTGGCTTCGTGAATGAGGCCTACTAACGGTAAGACTAGCATTTTAAGTTATACATATATAATAATTACTTATAATATTATAATAGTATAGAGTGAATTTTAACTTCTAAAATTCTAGGGTTTGAAATTTAAATAATCGAAATTAAACATTTAAAAAAAATCTAAATTTCAAAACTTGAGGGCAAGTTTTGAACTTTTTAAAACACATAGGGTCAAATAGAAAATAATTTAAATCATACAATTAGTTTAATGATTATCTAAATTTGACCTATTCCATTCTATTCAGAAGATTATTCAACAAATAATTCAAATAATCAAATTTTATCATATAAGGAATTTATTATTCAATTAATTGATAATTATCTAATGTTTTGGTAAGGATATTCACATAATAATAATAAAATTCGAATTTTATTAGTCAAAACAGTTTTAGCAATTATCTTTCAGCAAAACAGCAAGAAATCCCGAGATATCCTCTGTTTGACAGTCCGACTTGCCGAGTCCCATGAGAACTCGTCGAGTTCCTAATTGGGACTCGACGAGTTCTTCAGTCAGAGGGCTAAAAAACGAACTTTAAATCATGAATGAACATACAAGGCATCAATATAATAGAAACCAATCAAGGCTCTGGTACCACTAGTGGGTTTTATATAAAATAACAGCATATGTGCTCATGCAAACCCTAATGCTTGGATCTAGGTTTCTTTATTGTACATGCAACTCATCCAAGAGTTATAAACCATAGATCTAGCATATATATTTTGAAATTGACATATGAAAATAGATCTA